GGCAGCGGGCGGGTGGGAAGGACCAAGCAGAAACCAATCGAGGGTTGGTGCCGAGGAGAGGCGCTCCCAGGCTCCCCTTCTCCCCTGGCAGCGCCCGGCCGGGGGCGGTGGCACAGAGCTAGCGAACGGGAGGAACCTCCGGAGGACGCGCGGCGCGGCCAACCCCCGCTCGGGCAGGGCCGCCTCCAGCCGGCTGCCCCGGGCCGTGTCCAGTCGGCTTTTGAATGTCTCCAAGGAGGGAGGCTCCACAACCTCTCTGGGCAACCTGTGCCGGTGCTCCGTCACCCTCACTGTAAAAAAGTGTTTCCTGATGTTCAGATGGAACCTACTGTGTTTCATTTTGTGCCTGTTACCTCTGGTCCTGTCACTGGGAACCAGTGAGAAAAGTCTGGATCCATTTTCTTCATTCCATCCCTTCAGCAACTTGTACACACTCATAAGATCCCCCTGAGCCTTCTCTTCTCCGAGCTAAACAGTCCCAGGTCTCAGCCTTTCCTCACAGCAGAGGTGCTCCCGTTCCTTAGTGTTCTTTGTGGCCCTTCGCTGGACTCTCTCCAGTATGTCCATGTCTCTCACATACATTCAAAACTCACCTCGACACGTTCCTGTGTGATCTACTCTAGGTGGTCCTGCTCTGGCAGGGGGGGTGGACTAGATGATCTTTCAAGGTCCCTTCCAACCCCTAACATTCTGTGAGTCTGTGATACTGGGGAGTCCAGAGGTGGCCACCGTATTCCAAGTGTGGCCTCACCAGTCCTGAGTAGAGGGGAACAGTTGTCTGCCTTGTCCTGCTGTTGACACTCCTCCTAATATAGCTCAGGATACCAGTAGCCTTCCTTGTCACAAGGGCACACTGCTGGCTCATGTTCGCCTTGTTGTCCACCATGACACCCAAGTCCTTTTCTGCAAAGCTGCTTTCAGTTGGTCACCCTAGCATGTACTGGTGCATGGGGTTGTTCCTCCCCAAGCGCAGGACTCTGCACTTCCCCGTGTTGAAATACTTGATGCTCCTGTCAGACCATTCTCCAGCCTGTTGGGTCCATCTGGATGGCAGCATGGCCCTCTGGTGTATCCACCGCTCCTTCCAGTTTTGTACCCTGTGTCTATACTTCCCTAACATCTGCTCCAATAACTTATTTTTAAAGGGCCTCCTTCAATCAGAGACTCGTTACACCACATGGTGATCCACTTCCTTTGAAACAGTACCAGTATCATAAAGAGAGAGTTCCTTCATGAAGAAATTATTTTCAAGGCCTTCGCTGAAATAGACAACAGCAAGGCTTAACTTGCATCTTGTGAACTCTCGGGATTTAGAGGCCCAGGGAACCTGATCGATTTCATGCGAAACAAACACAAAAAATATCCGGGAAGAACAACTATCTGTAGGAAAATATGCAGACAGCTAATAAAATGTGAAGAATGCAATGTTACTATACTGTTCATCACATATTTAATAGTCAGATTCAAAAATAAAGAATTGCTCAGCTGAATACCAAAACTGTCAGTGTCCTAGGGTTGTAGTGGCCCTGATCACTGCAGACCAAGGGGTCAGTCATCCACCGTACGGTTACCCTGGCCAGGCACAGGCTGGGGCTGTGCTGGGCTGTGCTGCGGGTACATCTGCACACACCCCTTGGCTGTAGGATAAACTCAGCCAGCTTGTTAGAGGAGCCTGCAGGCGGCTTCCGCTTGGTACCGGTGATTACGCCTCCTGCTCGACCTTGCCTTTAACTAACAGTGCAGCAAGAAGGTCTCATGGAAGCATGGTTTCTGCTTTGACTGTAGAAATGACAAAGCAAATGTAAAAAACACTTATAAAAGGTTGAAAGACCAAAAGGGAAGAATCTCTGCTATGGATGTGGTCCGCATAGCGTGCTGTGTGTGGACCAGTGGCCCACTCAATGCTACACCACCTGGGCCTCCCACCATCTAAAGGGACGTGAGATCACCTGTACCATTCTCTTCTGTTAGCATTGTGAATAAATGCCTTTGTAGGTGATACTTTACAGAGTCTAAGTGCTGTTCTTACTGGGCTCATAACGGACCAACACCTCTTCGTGCAAAATGTGGTTAAATGAAGAAATCAGGGGATCAGGGTGCGCACATTCTTTCTATTATTTTCCACGAGAAAATTAAATACGCGGAAATCCCCCCTCTCTTTCGCACACACAAATGTAGTTGTCAAGCTAGTATCAGCGAAGTTTCGTGGAGGCAAGGTCTGGTGATCTGAAGATCTGGAGGAGGAAGTATTTGGAGCACTGTGCTGTCCCAGCGGTCGCCTTGGAAGCGGCATTTTTGTAGGGTTAAATGGTGTCCTGTTTTGGGAGTGTAATGCAGAAGGTTGATGTGTACTTTTAGAGCAACATACTTCAGAGATAGTCATTGGGTTTGGTTCCATGTAAAGGAATATTTCAGAAAATCTAGTAATCTCTTTCTTTGCACACCAGCAGGAAGTCTTTAGAGAAAGGCAAGGTCATGACTCAACACACCAGGAGCAGTGTTTTAGGGCTAGAAGGCTCTGTCCCTTCCAGCACCAAACTCTGCGCTCGGTTTTTTCCCAACTCCTGACACCATTTTCCCTGGCACTGTGGAGTGGTGCCATGATGGGCGCGCAACACCGCTCAGATCAAAAAAGCAAGTGTTTTGGTACAGGGAAGGTGACCGCAGAGGGAGGGTGGCACTGCCTGGGGCGCCATGACACTGCCGCGACCCCCTCGCTCCCGCCGTTGGGAACATTGCCGCAGCACGCCACACCCGCCGCTCCCACCAAAAAGACAGGCGCGACACTTAATACCGCCACCCGGGCCTGC